TATAAAGACTTCCTTGGGAGTACTGTTCTCAGGAGCATGGCTTCTGGCTCCCCAAAGCCTTGTACTTCCTTGCTCCCCCCCCTCCTCCCGCCACACACACACACACACATAGAGTTCAGAGGCTGAGCCCAAACTGACAGCAAACAGCCAAGTTCAAGATGAAAGCCCATGGCCTGAGGTCAGAGCCAGCCAAGCACAGCATTCAAGACTGGAAGATTCTGTTTCTTTTAAACGACAGACTGTAAATATGGCAAAATCCCAGTTAAATACGTAGAAGCAACAGTCATCACCTCCCTTGCACCCCTCCAATAGGAAGCCCCCACCCCCGCGAGAACATTTCAACACTTGCTAATTTCTCCCCTCAATAAGTCTCTATTACCATGCCATCTGTAATCGTCCTAAGGGCTCTAGTAAAACTCTCAAAACGATTCAATAAAAATTCACTTTACTGTTCAAACTCTAACTAGAGCAGTTAACTTAGGCAGATTTATCAATTTGAGAATTTTTTTTTTTTTGGCTGCCCGGCCTTTGAGCAAAACATTAATAAGAAAAGGAGCCTTTAGGAAAGAACCCCTTTCCTCTCCCAAACCCAACTTCTCCTCTTTCCATTTCTCCAGTCCTGGAAGGTGAGAGTTCAAGTTTGAACTAATGACGTGGGCCTCCCTGATCCTGGATAATCAAAAGATCTATTGTGTTCCCTTTACTTACAAAGGCATTTAAGTGGACCAATGCACTTTTACAATTTCCAATGAGGCTTGACACAAAAGAGGTTTTCAAGTTAACCCTCAATTCTCCAAAAAATTCAATGAATGTGCCCCATTCTGAGCATTTTGGTGGGATGTACTTTTACCACATGGCTATATTTTTCAAATTTTAGGAGGCGGATTGGTGTTAATAACAGGGTGTCAGAACCTCAAAACTGGAATGAGCCTCACTACAGAGACTGGAGCATGGACAGAGGAGGAAGGATTCAGACAATAAAAGGAGAGAGGTCTGGGACACATGGAAAACCTCCCAACAGAATAGTGCCGTTTGCAGCTTAGACAGCAAGGAGGCCAGTAAAATCCAAATGGCTTCTGGGAATTGGTCATCTATGTGAGCAGTCTGGGAAACCCAGAGTTAGGGATATAGAGCCCCAGTGGAGGGCAGGGCTTGGGGTGACCCTTACCACACCCCAGGAGAATTGGGAATCTCAAGAGCCACAGCACAAAGCAACACCCACTCTTCCCCTTCCTTTTCCCGGCTAAGCCCTCCTAATTCCAAGACCCCACTCTGGCTGGAGGTCACCTCCTCCTGAGAGCCCTCCCTGACCCCTCAGGCTGGACCTGGGGGCTTTCATTAAGAGTCTCGCCTGAACACCTCTGTGGGGTTTGGGAACTGTTGTCATAATGGGTTTATTGTTTCTTATCCTCAGCAGCCGGCATGTCTTAATTCACCTTTGCACTCCCAGCACCTTGCTCAGTGTCTGGAGCACTGTGGGTGCTTAATAAATGCTTGTTGACTAATTCCCATGTACTTTGGAATGCAAGACTCTTCAATTTGAGACCTGATTCTGCACTATATGATCCTGGGCAAGTTATATCATTTTTTTCGAGCCTCATTGATTAAAGGGGGTGGTCACCAATTAGATTAAAATAAAAATGTATGTGAAGTGCTTAATCAAAGCCCTGGCAGTTGGTGAGCTCTCAAATCCTTCCTGTTTATGATCACTGGACACTGGAGGTGAAGGCTGAGAAGGGTTCTTCCCCTTGACCCCAGAACTCTGCGTTTTTGTGCTTCCAAAGGAATGAGGTATGGCGGACTGATGCTTACTTCAGTAATGGAGGAGGTGACGGCTCAGCCGGGCACAGCACGGGGCAGCCTGCATGCAGATGCCTGTTCTTGGGGGAACAAAAAATAGAATTTCCCAGCAGACCAGAGTACAGCTAAACCAATTTACTAAATTCACTTACAGACCAACCATTCAACAGCTTCACATGCCCAAGAGTGGGGGCAGGTATGTACAAGGAGGCCGAGCTGGTCCCACCTCAGGCTGTGCCTTCTTGCTGTGTCACCAAAGCCACTAACTTCCCTGAGCTTCAGTGTCCTCACAAATAGGTAAGACTGCTGTAAGGCGTACCTGAACTAACACAGGTAAAGCACCTGGCAAGGTGCCCCGGTCCATGTGTGCTCCATCCGTGCAAGTGACAGGGAGGAGAGCTCGCTCTCCCAAGTTCATCTGCACACGTCTAGCCGAATGCTTCTACTTTACTTGACTCTCACCAGACCTCATCATGCAGATGAGGAACTGAAATGGTTTGATGGATAAATGGCCAAGCCGGATGGCAAAAGCAGACCGTGCCCTCTCTCATAAAACATAGATATGACCCACAATGCCCAACACGAAAGGGCTCAGTCCTTGCTAACTCCCCTCGTGGGAGCCTCTGCAATTTAGGACGAGGTTGGGGGAGGGGGTCACCCAAAACCTGGCGCCGCAAGCGTCACAGCGCAGGGTTCAAGATGGCTCTGAAGGCAGGAAGGAGGGCGACCACGTGGCACAAGGCGGGTGGTGCTCAGAACACTTGAAAGTCAACCTCTGCCTCTATTCAACCACAGCCTGAACAGGGAGGAAGCACCTGACGACCCAGGGACTGTTTCCAAAGATCTAAAGAAAGGTGTGTAAACTCCCTTTCTCACGAATTTGAAAGCCTGTTTCCAGTGTGAGAAAAACCCCAACTCAGACTGCACCACCCCCACACCCTGCCAACAACCCTACCCATGAGCCCGCCCCCACCCCAGGAATTCCTAGCAAGGACTTCTTTAGAATTACAAAGGTGATTCAGAACCTCAGGTGGAAAATGCCCAAACAACCCAATTGGAAAGATTTTGAGTTTTCATTTTTCCTTAAACCAATTTCCTGAGGCCTGAGGCAATGCCCCAAGTCGCGTCAGAAAACCGGGCTGCGGGCTTCTGGAGACTAACAGTACCGCTAGCTAAAAGTGTCCACTGCTTTTCATTTCTTGGGTTTTTCCTACGAAGGGAGGAGACTCGCCCATTTGGAGAAGGATTGAGAGTTTTTTGGCTGTGGATAGGAACAGGGCTATCCATAATCATCTCCGAATCACACTGGCCTGACGCCCAAATCCTTTTCCTAAAAGTAACCTGCTTCTTTGGGGGGATTTAACAGGGCCTCAAAATAAGTGATTTAGTTTGCGCAAACACCTTAAGAAAGCTGTCTAACCTCCAAAGGTCCTACCACCAGCTGCACCCGGCTGCCTCACCCCGACCCCCCTCTTTTCTCTTCTCCTCGTGTTTTGAAGTTTATTTTCCCACATTCAGCCTTGAATTCTTTCCTTCCTGCAGTGGTTGGTGGAGGAGCAGCAGCAGCGAAGAGGGAAACTTGGAGGGCAGCTCGATTCTTTATCATACTCGCCTGCCTTCTTCCCCTCTAAACAAAGCCCTGGAAGAAACTAAACAACAGCTTGTCGTCCAGAAGAATTGTTTCCTCAAGGGAAATTATAAAGTGACCCTCCCCAACACATGCACACAGGACAGACACCCAGCCAACGGAGCCCGCATCGCCCCGGAACTCCTGCTATTATGAGCTAGACCACCCAGCTACTTTCTGAAGCTCACCTCCCAGCAGCCCCCAGCCCGGGAACTCTTCCCCTCTGAAACCAAACACCCAACCTGAAGTCTATTTGCCTGGCTGCCCGCAGGCACCGAAATGCTCATCTGTAGATGTCTATCAATTTGGGGACAAACGGGGAGCCTCAAGCAGACAGCTTCATGTTTTTCCAGTGCTTTCAACCTTCCAACAGTTCAGGGCAGGAAAAATGAATGAAGATGCGTTTGTTCCTGTTTTACATACAGGGAAATTGAGGCCAGAAAAATGAGACAACCGGACAGCCACAAGGTACTAGCAGACTGCTGTAGATTAAATGTTGTTCCTCATCAAACGTCCTTCATGGTATTTTTCACCCTGAGAGAAACGTAACATCTTAGATCAACTATCCCTGCTCCACCCAGGCTCTTACTCAGGTCCTGGTCATTCCACGGGAGGATGCCATTAGTGCAGGCCAAGGGTGCATGGTTAAGAGTAAGAGTCTTCTAAAAACTGGGGTCGAGGGCCTCGAATCCCAAACTGGCCAAAGGTCGCTTTATCCCAGTGAGGTCAATGCCACCATGGGGCCCATGAACAAGAAGAAACTCCCAATTCCGACACCGGTGAGAAACTCTCCCCACCGTCTCCCATTCTGCACAACCCCTCCTCCCACCCCCACCCCCGCCAAGAGGACTCCCGGGTTTTGTTCTTTTGTTCAACCTGTTCCTTTCACAAAGTTTGCCTCGGAACCTCGGAGCTAGCCTTCCCGTTTAGGCGAGGTACGGCGAGATAAGCTCTCCCGGAAGCCCGAGCGCGTCTCCAGCATTCCAGTCGCCAGCCCCCGGCCGGCTGCTCAGGCCGGCAGAGTCCCTTACCCCGCTCCTCGGCCCTCCGGAGGAAGGGGGTCTTTGCTCGGGCTGGAACTGGGGGCCCTCCTGCAACTTCGCCGGGCTCCCATTCCCGAAGCAAAGCCGTGCAGGAGCGCTGCACTGGCCCCGGAGATGGGAGGTGGAGACGCCAGGGGAAAGGGGGGAGGTGACACCCGCCTAGGCTCCCGAACTCCGGGAGCGTCTCCAAGGAAAGATAAACGCTTTTATCCGCCCCACAGCCTCCCTCCTAGGGAGGTACCCACACACCCACACCGAGCCACCGCGGGGCCCAGTTCACCCGGAGGTCAACCCTAAATTCTTCTCTCTGGACAAACTGGGTTCCAAAGAGTCTCCGCGCGTGGGTGACTCCTCTGTCCACGGGGGAACGAACGATCCCAACAACCAGATCCATGATGAGACATCCTCTCCTGTCACCCTTAGGACAACCTACAGGGGCTGAGGGTCATCCACAGCTGTGAGGGGCGTCCCTAGGCACTCCTGCAGCTCCAGCCAGCTTCAGGTGTGCGTGGGGTAAAGCGGCGCCTCACCTGCAGGATCTTGTCCAGGCCCTCCTGGCCCAGACACGGGAACTCCTTGAGTAGACGCATTTTCTGTGTGTAGTAGTTTTTCTTAGCCTCTTTCCAGTGCGGCTCCTCCAGCACTTCGAAGATCGCCGCCCCGATGGCCAGGTAAAAGATGATGGCCGAGGTGAGCAGAGGGCCCCGGTCCACCATGGCTCCCGAGAGGCCACCTCCGGGAGAAAGCGTCCCCTAGGCCCAGCGGCTCCTGTTCCACCCGCCCTCCAGCCTCTGGAAACAGCTGTTTGAATTTGGAGCTCCGCATGCGCAGTGCCCAGTACCCACGGCGCGGTTTCCCGGACAAAGTAGCTTCTCCAAGTTGGCCCACTGAGCGCAGGGTACTGTGCGGGGCTCTGCTCACGCGGGCCGGGAGTTGAGCGAACACCAAGGGAAACGAGGAGGCTCCCTGGATCCTGGTGGAGAAAAGAGCTGGGGGAACTCAGGGCCGGACTTTGCGAGACACGTGGGATACCCTACGCTCTACACTGCTGTAAGCGCAGTGTCCTCCTCCGCGCGCCTCTTTAATCAGCTCGCTGCGCGGACCGCCCGCCCGCGCCAGGCCCCCGCGGGGGCGGGGCCGATTAGGGCCCGCCCCTTGTAAGCACCGCCCCTGCGCACGCCCCTCCCGTGCAGGCCCCGCAGCCCCGAGCGGCACACGCGGTGCGCTGGGCTGCTCCGTGAGTTCCCTGTTGCCGGACACCTGAGCGACTGGGATCTCTGGGACTCCTCTTTGTTACTAGTACTGGTGTATAGTAAAGAAAATGAGTGTGTGCCTAATGACTGGGATCAGGAAGTTATTACTATTGTTATTTCCGTTGTAATTCAGTTTTTGTCTCACACACCTTACTATAATTATAAGCCTGGGGAAAGGGATTCAGAAAGGGACTGAAGAAACTAGAGAATCAGGGTATCAGGAACTAATCCAGCCGCAGGCATGACTTCTCCCTCTGGCCCCATTTCACCTGCTCTGAGGTGAGTCCTCCCTCCCCCCATGTGGGGAAGGAGCAGCCTGGGCAGCACTGTGCAAGCCCCTTACCCCGACCCCCACTACATACACACTGTAACTCTAGGGGAACCGACCTCTTTGATACTCTCAGGCCTATTTAAAATCGCAACCCCCCACCCCACACACAAACACTCGCACTCATCCTCTTTGTTAGCCCTATTTTCGTCCTAGCACTAAAATTTGTCAAATATACTATATAACTCTAATATATTATACAACATTAAAACGACAGCTTGTGGGTAGGGAGTCTAGATTATTCAATGATGTATTCCCTGGGCCTGTTACAATGTAGACACTCATTCAACATTTGTGCAATGAAGAAGTGAATGATGTTTAAAAGCATATTTGCCAAAAACACACACCCAATGGAAGTCCTTGCTGGAGCAATTATGCAAGAAAAAGAAATAAAAGGCCCGGCTGGTGTGGCTCAGTGGAATGAGTGTCACTCCATGGACTGAGAGGTCCCAGTGATTGTGGTCAGGGCACATGCCCAGGTTGCAGGCTGGATCCCCAGTGGGGGGTGTGCAGGAGGCAGCCAACTGATGTTTCTCTCTGTCATGGATGTCTCTCTCCCTTCCTCTCTCTCTAAAATCAATAAAGAAAAAAAACAATTAAAAAAATAAATGAAAAGCATCCAAATTGGAAAGGAAGAAGTAAAATGATCACTGTAGATCCCATGATATTATGTATAGAAAATCCTACTAAAGACTCCACGCATACACACATACACAAAAACCGTTAGAGCTAATCAATGAAATGTAAAGTTATAGATTCAAAATCAATATACAAAAATAAATTGCACTTTAATATACTACTAATGGAATATCAGGAAGAGGAATTAAGAAGACAGTATCATTTACAATTGCATCAAAAAGAGTAAAATACCTAAGAATCAATTTAACCAAGCAGATGAAAGGCCTGTGCACTGAAAATTTTAAGATATTGATTAAAATAAAGAGAAGACACAAATAAATGGAAAGATATTCTGTGCTCATGAATTGGGAGAATTAATATTATTTTGTTTATTTGTTTTTTAATTCTTACCTGCGGATATTTTCCCATTTATTTTCAGATAAAGTGGGAGGGAGGGGGAGAAGGCGGGGAGAGAGAGAAAGAGAGAGAGAGAAATATCAACGTGAGAGAGGCGTAACTATTGGTTGCCTCCCACAAGACCCCAATGAGGGTCGGGAACTAACTGCAACTGAGGTACATGCCCTTGCCTGGAATCAAACCCACAACTCTCTGGTCCACGGGCAGATGCTCTAACCACTGAGCAATTGGCCAGAGGTAGAAGAATTAATATTGTCAAAATGTCCATCCTACCAAAGCAATCTACAGATCCAATGCAATCTCTATCAAAATTCCAATGTCATTTTTCAAAGAAACATAAACAGTCTAAAATTTATATGGATGTACGAAAGACCCAGAAGAGCCAAAGCAATCTTGAAGGGAAAAAGGCTGGAGGCATCACACTCCCTGATTTTAAACTATATTACCAAGCTATAGTAATAAAAATAGTATAGTATTGACAGATCAATGGAACAGAATAGAATCTAGAAATAAATTTACAACATAGGAACCAAGACTATACAATGGGGAAAGAACAGTTTTTTCAATGAATGGCATTGAACCCAGCCAGTGTAGTTCAGTGGTTAAGGGTCGACCCATGCACCAAGAGGCTACTAGTTTGATTCCTGGTCAGGGCACATGCCCAGGTTGTGGGCCCAGTCCCTAATGGGGCAGGGGGGGGGGCATGCAGGAGACTGCCAATTGATATTCTCTCTCATCAATGTTTCCATCTCTCTCTCCTGTTCCCTTCCTCTCTCTCTAAACAATAAAAAAAATTTTTTAAATAAACAAATAAATGGCATTGCGAAAACTGGACAGCCACATGCAAAATAAAACTAGACTATCTTATGCCATACACAAAAAGTAAACCAAAAATGGGTTAAAGATTTGAATGTAAGACCTAAAACCATAAAAATCCTAGAAGAAAACATAGACTGTAAGTTCCTTGAAATCAGTCTTGATGTCTTGACAGTGATTTTTTGGATCTGACTCCAAAAGCCAAGGCAACAAAAGCAAAAATGAACAAGTGGGAATACATCAAACTAAAAAGCTTCTGCACAGCGAAGAAAACCACCAACAAAACAAAAAGGCAACCCAGGGAGTGGGAGAAAATATTTGCACATAATATATCTGATAAGGGATTAATATCCAAAATATATAAGCAACTCATACAACTCAATAGCAAAACAAAACAATTTAATCTCAAAAATGGGCAGAGGATCTGAATAGACATTTTCCCTTACAAGACATACAGATGGCCACCAGGTAAATGAAAACATGCTTTATATCACTAATTATCAGGGAAATGCAAATTAGAACAATGAGTTATCAATTCACTTCTGTCAGGTGGCTATAATTTAAAAAAAAAAAAAAAGATAAAAAATAACAAGCGTGGGTGAAAACACTGAGAAATTGGAACCTTGTGCACCGTTGGTGGGGATGTAAATTGGAGCATCCACTATGGAAAACAGTATGATGGTTCCTCAAAAAATTAAAAATAAAACTATCATATGATCCAGTAATCCCACTTCTGGCTATGTATCTAAAGAAAACGAAAAACACTAACTAGAAAAAGATATATGTACTCCCATGTTCACTGCAGCATTGTTTACAATAGCCAAGATGTGGAAACAACCTAAGTGTTCATCAGTGGATGAATGGATAAAGAAAATGTGATGTGTATCTACGCAATGGAATATTATTCAGTCATAAAAAGAATAAAATCTTGGGGCTGGCCAGTTTTGCTCAGCGGTTAGAGAGTCAGCCCTCAGACCAATGAGTCACAGGTTCACTTCCAGTCAAGGGCATGTACCTAGGTGTACCTTGGTTGCAGTTCATCCCTGGCCCTGGTCGGGTCTTGCAGCAGGTGACCAATCGATGTGTCTCTCTCACATCGATGTCTCTCTCTCTCTCTCTCTCTCTCTCTCTCTCTCTCTTTCTTTCTCTCTCGCTCTCCCTTCTTCCCATTCTATCTGATGATAAATAGAAAAATATCCTCAGGTGAGGATTAAAAAAAAAAAAAAAAGAATGAAATCTTGCCATTTGCAACATGAATGAATGTTGAGAACATTATGCTAAGTGTAATAAATCAGACAAAGACAAATGCTATATGATCTCACTTATATGTGGAATCAAAACAACAATCAAGCTCACAGATAGACTGGTAGTTGCTGGAGGCAAGGGGTGGGGATGGGGTTGTATGAAATTGGTGAATGGGGTCAAAGGTACAAATTCCAGTTATAAAATAAATAAGTCATCGGGGCTTAGTTATACTGTATTGCATATTTGAAAGTTGCTAAGAGAGTAAATCATCAAAGTCTCCATCACAAGAAAAAAATTGTTTGGTAACTATTATGGTGATGAAATTGTTTTTAATCCTGTCCTGAGGACATTCCTGCATTCATCTTCAGATAGAGCGGGAGGGAGAGAGGAAGGAGGAGAGAGCAAGAGAGAAACATCGATGTGAGAAAGACATCAAGTGGTCGCCACCCACACGACCCCAACAGTGACCGGGGACAAACTGCAACCGAGGTACGTGGGAACCGAACCCGGGTCTCTCTGGCCCGCGGGCTGACACTCTAACTGCTGAGCCAAACCGGCCAGGGCATGATGATGGATTTTTAACTAGATTTATTGTGGTGCTCACTGTTTAATGCATACTAGTATCAAATCATGTTGTGCATCTGAAACTAATATAATGTTATGTTAGTTATAGCTCAATAAAAAATTAAATAAATTTATTAAATGACAACAAAAATACACACCCAGGATATTTCTCCCTCACCTTGCACCAGTTGTGAGTGTTATAAACCATAATCCCAGGCAGCGCTCCATCCTCCCCAGCATCATGAGCAGGGCCTGACATACCTCTCTGCACTGAGAGCGCTGGAGCTGGGTGGGTTTGCGTGTTCAGTCTCTGAACCAGCAGCGCCCAGAAGTTGGAGAGACACAGGCTTCCAGGGACTGGCCGTGACCCTCTGGTCTCTGTGGGGCCAGGTGTAGCAGTTGGTCAAGTCCCCTCACTGCCCCCTGCCCAAGGCCTTTTTATTTTTCCCTATGGGGGAAGGGGAGGGGGTTTTTGCTTAGCTGTCAAGAGTTAGGGCAGTTTTTTACTTAGGGGTGGGAAGGGAGAGGGGGGATCCCAGATGTGGCATCTCCGAATGGGCTGGAGTGGAAGAAATGGGGATGCAGGTTTGAAGACTGATCTGGTCTGTGCGTGTTTCTGTCTCCTCTCGATGGTACAGTGTGTGCCCCCAGGAGGCTACAGTAGGAAGCTGGGAAGCCCCAGGTTTTCTACTTCTGTGTCCCTGAAGCCTTGGGAGCCAAGTCCCCTTAAGGAGGTCTTGAGGTGGCCCCTCTGGATTGAAGAAGCCTCCCCAGCCAGGTCCCTGGCCCACCGCAGACAGAGCTCTCTAACCCTGCTCTGC